AAGGAGAGGGAGCGACAGCAGGCAGCCAAGAGTAGCAGCTCACTTGCTTCATGGATCAGGCCAGTTTGTAGCAGAGAAGAAGAAAAGGAAGAAAGTGGTAATTCAGATTTAGAAAAAGATGTGATAGATGATGTGGAAGAATTTTCTGGTGAACAAGATCAAGGAGCTACTGCAGGAGAGTTGCAAGAAGGAGATGCAGGAGAAGAAAGCCAGTATAGAACTGCTAGTATAGATCAGGAAAATGTGGAGACTGGAGCCACTGCAGGAGAGTTACAGTCAGGAGAAGCAGGAGAAGAAAGCCAGCATAGAAGTACTGCAAATAAAGAGGATGTAATTGCAAAACTAATGGTTTTGAATTGTCCTACAGATCCTGCCCACATGCAGACATTTAATATTAATTTAAATGACAGATATATTGAAATGTGTGAGAAAGTCGGACCTTGCCAGCCTGTTATGACATTCCCAAAAAACGCAGAAGGACGGTCTTTCCTGAGGAGATGGTACACAGATTGCCCATGGTTGAAGTATTCACCCAAAAATGATGCCATGTACTGCTTTAGTGGTCGCATTTTTCTAAGAGAAGAAAAATTCAAGAACAAAACAGCCTGGAAGACAGTAGACATAGATACATGGAGGAGCGCCATTGGAAAAATTAAAGAGCATGCCAGCACAGAGGCCCATATGATGAGCATGGTGAGATGGAACATATACTCCAAAAAAGCTCTACAAGCTGCTTTTGATACATCGGATATTCAGGGGAAAGCAACACAAGAGAGAGAAAGACAAAGAAACAGGGAAATCATAACACGTTTGATTGATATTTCCTTGTATCTGGCACGAGAGGGGCAAGCTTTTAGAGGAGATGATGAGTCAAGCTCAAGTGCCAACCAAGGCAACTTTATTGAACTTGTGAAAACATTGGCCCAATATGATAGTGTAATGAAGCTGCATTTGGATGCCGTCCAGGAAAAACAAGCCTCCATGAAAAGACCCCAAGTGTCCCTTCTCTCAAACAGGAGCCAGAATGACATAATAATGTCCTTGGGTACCTTCATTAGGAGGAAAATACAGAATGAAATTAAAGAAGCTCAAATCTTCTCCATCCTTCTGGATGAGACCACAGATGTCTCTCACAAAGAGCAGGTATCCTTTGTAGTTCGCTATGTAAGTGACATGGAAATAAAGGAGTGTTTTCTACAGGTCTGCACTCTTGAGTCCACAACAGGAAAAGAGTTGGAGAATGTTGTCATCTCTCTCCTTCAAGACAATGGACTTGACTTGAAGAACATCAGGGGCCAAGGATATGATGGAGCTGCGAACATGAGTGGAATGTACAAAGGTCTACAGTCCCGGATACGTGCACACAATGAAAAGGCTCTTTATGTTCATTGCCAGGCATACTTTTTTCAATTTCAGCACATGCCCCTCAAAAGGTCTGTGCACGGCCCTGGAAGAGAGGGAGGAGAACACCAGCAATCATGCTTACTGCTGAGTGCCTTTTTATTTAAACTAAGAAAAATGGGAAATATTTAAAACACTAACATTTAAAACTGCCCCATTAAACTTGTAGCGTAGTTTTTCACTCTAGTAAAACTAATATGAGATGAGAAAAACCTCTCTGATGCAGCCATGCAGGTTTCTTGGTTAGGGGTTTTTATTTATTTGACAGTCTTGTTCCACTTGCTTGTGCACTTTGAGAGAAGTGACCAACCTGGATGTTGTGTCACATCATCTTCAGCAAGTAACTGCATCAGACACACCTAAAACTATTAAGACATCAGGTGATGAGATTCAGCTTGAACTTGTTTGAAGCCTTTTTTGCCATTTTTGAAAATGTCACATTTCAGCCGTTGTTGACCTGTAAGTGAAAACCCACTTCTGCGGTGGTTAGACTACTTTTAATGTGAAAACATGCCTGTTTACTTGACTTGTCATTTATCTATTTTTCTGTTGCACTTGCAGGGTTATTGTACTGGAGGTGTGTTTTGTCCATCTCTACCCAATGTGCACAATGAATTCTTGGAGCAGAACATGGTTCCTGATGCTGAAGATTATTTACTTCACTTTACACAGTAAAACCTTTTTTTTACATTTGTCTGTTTGAAAAGCAGTGGAAAAGTATGTAGTAGGCTGATATATAGAAATAATGATTAAACTGGCAATGCAAACAGCATGTTCATAAACACTTTTCAAGCCCCTGAAATGGTTAATTTGTTTGAAGGAAAAGTTATCATGATTTCATATTTATTAATTTACTTCTTTCTTCTGCCATCATATCAACTTGTTTTGTGCAGTTTCGGAGGCACAACGACTCCAAGTCCAGCCTGAAGTGACCGGATACCTGGGACTGGACGTCACTCTGCTATGCCAGTTCATCCAGGGACCCGAAGAGGCTGATATTTCTCAAGTTCAATGGAATCTTTTGCCACCAGAAGGAAAGAAAATCACCATTGCTGTTTTTAAAAGCCAAACCGAGGTGCTTCTTTTTGAATCTCCTTTGAAGGAGAGAGTGGAGATATCAGAACAATCTTTGATCATTAGAAATGTGGAAATGAGCGATGCAGGATTGTACACCTGCACTGTTACAACCTTTCCCATTGGTTTATTTGAAAAATCAACCAACCTTATTGTTCAAGGTGAGTACAGTAACAAAAAACTAAAAATTACACAAACCTTGTTATTTTAACATTAATTGTAGACAATCTTGAAAACGAGCAGGATCCAAAGTATTATTTACTGTATAGTCCTTAGTGTTTATTACATGTAAGTGGTAAATAACAGGAGCCTGTTTCTCTGTAAGTGGGGTTGATATGTAAAAATGAGAGAGTGCTATGTTATCTTGTTTGTTTCCATTTTACCACATATTCTACCATGACAAATGAATCTCCTAAAATACAGTGAGTGTCTGAACGTATCAGATTGCTGGGATTATATCAGCACTGTAAACTTATATTTACATAGGTTTGACACAACATTCCTCAATGCTCATGGTACCGAGGATGATTGCTGCGGGAATATTTGTGCTGATAGTAGTGACGATGATGGCCACAACTCACATCATCATCATCAGAATAAGGTGTGTGTGTGTGATGTATTTTGTGTTAAAGTATATAAACTGTTGAAAAGCAAACTTCTTCCATTACCAAGTGCGTCATCGTGAGATATTACTAATGAAATATATCAGTATTAATCTTCCATTTAGGAAACATTTTAGTCCTGCTAGAGTCAGATGGTAATGTGAGTCCACCAATTTGGTCCCGGTGAAATATCTCAACATCTGTTAAAGAGATCACGATCCCTAGAGGATGAATCTTACAGACTTTGATGATCCCCGGCCTTTTCATATAGCACTACCAGCAGGTTAACCTTTTGCTTTTAGCCAAATATCTCAACAACTGTTGAATAGATTTCTGTGGATTTATGCACCGATGCCAACTGGCTATCCCCTAACTTTTCCGCGAACAATTCTGAGATTCACATTTGTGTTTTTAAGTGAAATGTCTGATTGGGTGGCTTACCTTAAATTCATCTGCCAGTCAGAATAAATTCAAAAACTTTGATCCCTAGTGTCTACAGTGATACCGGAGTCGGTATCATTTAATGCTGCCTGTTACTTGTTCAGTCCAAAGTGTAAAAAGAAGCTGTGACGTGTGAACTAATAACACTACATTTTCTTCACTCAGACGTGAGGCCTCAGTCAAATACCATGGTGGCACCACTGGTGAATAAAAACTCCTCTTCTGATTCTAAACGACACATCTCCTCTTGTCTTTTGGACACCGGGGTTTCAGAGATGAATGTGGCCATGTGTGATTGAAAGACGAGATGAGGTTAGAGCCGACTGGGGCTCTAATAATTAGTTCAGTTTTGTTTATCCAAGGGCACAAAAATCACTGAAACTGCTGTGTGTAGTATTTATGATCTTGCTGGTATTATTTTATAAAATTGTCATCATGTCATCAAGTGCTCCTTAAAGGATGAAGCTGGAGTTATTATGTTTTTTACTGTCAACAAATTGTATGAAAAGACCAAAACCAACAATGAATTAGACTTCTCTGCTTTTTCTGTGGCACTGAACTTCAGGCCTAGTCTTTCTTTCCTTTTAATGTATAAAAATGAGTGTTTCTGCAGTTTTTTGCAAAAACTACTCAAACAGGAGCTTTTGTCAGTGTTTCCAGCTGTGGATTAATTCCCATTTGGTGCTTGAGTGAATATTTAAAGCAGTGTTTCTGTGTACTGTATGTGGGATAGACTCAAAATAAACTACAGTTTTCATAATGAAACATTTCACAAAGTACAACAGCATGGCTCAGTGATGTGTTTTAATGGCCTCTGGACAGTAATGATCATTGTTGGTTATGTCAGTCCATGGGATTTGTTGACAGTAAGAAAAACAAAGAATGTCACCAACCTTATCTCTTAAATAAAACCCCAAATGTGAGGCTGATATAGGTCCACAATTCATGCTCTCATAAATCTCACTGCATCTGAATTTTACCAGACACTCATGATAGTTTTTTGTAGGCGGTGCTACTACATGAAAGTCACTCATCTGTTCACAATTTTATGAAAACTATGGATGTAAGAGACATAAAACATACCACCTTTCTCTTTCCAGCTGTGATAAATCACATATTTTTTGACTGTATGCTAAATTCAGGAAATTTGCTTTTTACAGCCCTTTTTTGATAGATGTGTAAGGGGAAAATTTGGTCTCAGTTTTATGTAAATGACTTGTAATTTTGACTGTGGCCTCTCACCAAAATCCCCCCACAGACAAATGTTGTTCCTGAGGGTTTGATGTAACAGTAATGTCCCTCAGCTTATTGGAACTGGCCAACAAATACAGAGCAGCAGAGGGTTTTTTCCCCACTGCTGTGGGAAATGGATGACAAAATGGAAGTTAATACTGTTTAGTTCCAGTTCCTCCAGACGAGATCAAAAAGGGAAAAAGATAAATCACACTGTAAACATGACAAAGACAAAAGAGAACTAAACTAAACTAAAAGAGAACTAAACTGATGAAAAACAATGACTACTTCAGTGTCTGTAGGAAAATTATATTCTCTTTTCTCCGTGTTATGATTTTTCTTAGGATATTATAAAGTTCAGAGGTGGAATGTAACTAAGTACATTTACTCAAGTACTGTACTTACGTACAACTTTGAGGTATCTGTACTTGAGTATTTTCGTTTTCTGGATCCAAGGACCAGAAGAGGCTGATACTTTGACTTTACATTTTGGAGGAAACAAATGTTCTTTGTACTCACTACATTTATTTGATAAATTTAGCTACTAGTTACTTTTTAGAATGAGGTGAATAAAACACAATAGTGTATAATCATAAGATTTATTGATCCTTTGTGTAAAATTCACGAGCTACCCAGCAGTAACTCAAATTATAAGCATATAATGTATATAATAATCATAAGATATTTAAAATGAGCTCTACCTTTACCAGCTGCAACATTAAATGTCATGTACACAATAATCCAGTATATCAATAATTATAATCCAGTAATTTAATGTACACCAATATTAACTGCATAATGAGTATTTTTACTTTTGGTACTTTAAGTATATTTTATGCTAATACCTTTTACTTGAATGACAGGGATTAACAGGGAATTTTTACACTGTGGTATTGCTACTTAAGAAAACGATCTGAATACTACTTCCACCACTGACAATGTTGACAACCAAGATGTTTACCTTTTTCTCTAAGCTTTAGTTATGGCTGGAGGCTTTAAACAAACTCACAGCAGAACACAACCCACCCAACAATAAAAATGTCGTATCAGTACAGCACTGTATGTATTCCAGTAGCACACTTTCTAGTAAAAGCTGTAGTAGACTTGTATCCTATGCAGTATTCTCTCTGCACCAGGCCTATTTGCAAAACACTGCTCAATGTTAATGTGATAATCCTGTCTACATATGTTGTAATCTCATTATTGTTTATTATGCCAAAAAATGATAAAATGTGTTCTGCAAAGCTACTGTAAAGTTGCATATCTTCTTAACTTTTTTTCTGTTTTTATAGGCTAATCTTTATTTTTAATTTGCTGTAATGTTTCATTTCATTTCCTTTATATTCAAATTCAGGCCTCAAAAATGTGATTACAGTTGAGTCTGTGGGGTCATTTAGTTTTTGCCATGTAAAACACTAGCTTAAGGGTTCATATTTAATTTGCTCTGCTGTTACATTTGTGTTGTACTATAATTCAGTACTTCAAATTCACTTTACTGTACAATCATCTTAATGCTTTTGAGATAATTCAGTCCTGAAAATTGTCTCTACATTTGCTTTAAAACTGAACTTTTTGTTAGTGGCTGTTGTTGCTTAATAAAGCTCTACCTTTTTCATAGTCCTTACCAAACCTGTGGTTTGTCTTACATCCAAAGAGATTTGTCAGGACAGGAAATGACAGTTTGAATGGAGTGTATTATGCAGTATTGGAGAGTACATTTAGTACATTTACTCAAGCATGTTCCTACTGTAAGTGGTACTTTGGGGCTGATCCCTCGCTTTGTAGTGACTTGATTGAACTACATGTGCTTTACATTAATCAGCTAAAACTTGCTCCATTTCAACCAGCTACAACAGTAAAGTGCTGCTTACACATCATTGCATCGGTATTAACGGTCTAATAATGTCATATAAAATATTACATCAGTCACTGGACATTTTTCCTGACCATTGAGTACTTTTACTTTATTTTGAGCACATTTTGCTGATAACACAACTGTACTTATGTATGCAGGACTTTTACTTGTAATACTGTTATTTATACTTTAGCTTAAGTAAAGGATCTGAGGATTTCTTCCACTTGTTTTTTCAGTTTTGCATGCTGAGGCAGCACTTAAGCGCATAGGGATGTGGTAAGGTAGGTAGAGCATGGATCTGGTGGTTTTGGTCTAAGGACCTCACAACCTTCTTGAAGCAAAGCATCAGCAGCTGACAGCAGGAAGCTGGTTATTGAGGATATTAGGAGGCAAGAAGATGCAGGTAGAAGTGCAAAGGCAGGCTTCCAGGATGTCCAGCAGGGACAGTGGCTGACGTGGAAAGATGTAGGTACTTAGCTGGACAGAAATGTGGGACATGGAGGCAAGAAGGATTAGAATCAATTTAGGTGCAACTTATGTCGTGCTGACTTCTCCCCAAAATCTGAATCGATGGAAAGGCAAGGACCTGACATGTCCCTTGTGTTCAGGTGTAGTTTCACTCCAGCAGGTCCTCTGGGGGTGTAAAACAAGCCTGGCTCAAGGACGATACACCTGGAGACATAATCAAGTGTTGAAATGTTTAGCAGCAGCTATTGAAAGTAGGTGCTTAGAGGTAAACTCAGCGGAGGAGGCGAAGCAAGAGATTTGGTTTGTTCACGTAGAGGTAAACTCAGTGGAGGAGGAGAAGCAAGAGATTCGGTTTGTTCACAAGAGTAAAAATGGCAGGAAGAAAGTAATTTTGAACAGGCAGGATGCAGGCCAGCAAAAGGCAGGGCGAGATTGGCAAATTAAGGTAGATTTAGGAAATCAGCTCATTGTTCCTAATAGTCAGCACTAACCTAAGACCAGACCTTGTGTTGTGGTCAGAAACACACCAGACTGTGTATTTTGTTGAGCTTGTAGTTCTGTGGAAGGACGCTGTAGATGCAGCTTATGAGTTTTCATTAAAGGTGGAAACACATCAAACATGTTTCACCACCTGAAGCAAAAACACACCAGGCTATGAAGGTACACAAGGAAGGAGAACTAGCAGCTGGTGGTGTGCAGCCCAAAAGTAAACAAATTACTCAGATGGGCATCACTGGAGCACTTTCTAGTTGCACTTCATATGACAGGAAGTAGCGATGTCCAAATGAAGCAAAGAACTAGTATGGAACCACTTCATCAATTGTATCAAACATCAGTTCATTCATTCAAAGGTTCCTTTCCAGTAACATCAAGTGGCGAAATTGGAGACAGCAAAACAATGTCTGAATTATGTAATGGATGTAATTAGGCTTTGTGTCAATGATGTAAATACATGTTTGTAAAGATTGCTTGGTCGGTCGGTTGAGTCTATAAATGTATGTAGTATAGTAGTTGGGAGAAAATGCGCTGGGGGAAACAAAGGATGTGTTACAATGGTAGGGTGTGCTTATGTAACTAGGACAGGGTGTGATTGTACATGGGATGGAGATTCAAAGATTTTTATTGAGAAACAATATTTTTCCACTGTTTTTGGACTGAGCCGGTTTCTTTTCTTGCTGACAAACAGCTTCTCCAGCTTTTGAAAACACACGTTCACATGGCACGGATGAGGCTGGTGTACATAGGTATTGCTTTGCTAGTGAAAACAAATGTGGGTCAACATTTTTGTGCTGGTTCCAGGTCAGAGGATCTTCACATCTTTCCAATGGAGGATCTGTCATGTACTGTATATAGCGCTACAAGGTCTCACATTATGAGGCAGCATCAACTGTTTGAACCAGTCATAGGATTCACTCGGGGGTCGAAGCCATTTCTGCTTCAGACGTCATCTGTCACATGTCTTTTTCCGCAACAAAGCAGACATCGAAGCAGTGGTTTGAAGCTTGTATCGGAGCATCGGTGTCAGATGGCCATCACTAACAGGTAGAGCAAATGGTGGATGGAAATTACTGATGTGATTATATATTGTGGCGACCCTGACCGGCCGCTGATGTTCATGTGTTCTGTTGTGTGCAAATGGGTTTGACAGTGTTGTGAAAGCTGTGCATGTATTGGTTACCAATTACTGTGTGTGTTACCGCTGTTTTCTGTGAAATGCTGCGCTGTTCTGGCCAATGTGGGATGGGGGGAGGAACAGGTGCGGGAGGGTACAAGAGGGATGACAGGTGGGCGTGTTAGTTTGGTTCTGTTGGCAGGCGATGGTGAAGTTCGGGAGATGTGTTGTTTATTCTTTCATTATTTTCTTTAGAGAGCACATGGTGCCAGTTTGGACAGCGTTTTCATTTGTCTCCATACTGCGTTCAATAAAACCACAAAAGACAAACCAGGTGTTCTCCTCCTTGTTGAGCCAGCTGTCAAGTATAGGACAGGGTCAGGCCAGCTCCTCTCAACCGAGCCAGCGGTCGTCACAATATTGTTTAGCTAAGGATATGATGCCAATCCAAATGGTGGAAAAGGAGCTCTTTAAGCAACTGGTTAAAAAGCTCGACCCAAGATACAACATCCCGTGTACAAAAATTTTTTTCAAGACATCTTTGCAATGTATGAAGCATGCGGTGACCAAATAGCAGCTACACTATCGTTGGTGGAGTTTTTTTTGCCTCAACCACAAACATGTGGTCGAACCAAACCATGGAACCATATATCAGTCTGACCGTGCACTAAATCGAAAACGACTGGAAGCTACACAACTCTTGTCTTCTTTCCTGAGGATCACATGGGCAAAAATATCTGAGTGGTTTAAGGGAGTTTAACTCGTGGCATCTGGAAGAGGACGAACAGGTGTGTGACAACAGACAGTGGGCTGAGTGTCGTTAGAGCCATCGCTCTCAGCAAGTGGACCAGACTGTTAAGCTTTGGCCATCATCTACACGTTGGTAAGTTTCATTTTTTGGGTCAGTTTCCCCAAAAAAATAAATTAAGAACATTTTTTTCTATATGTTATAAATATTATTACAAATTTCCTTAAATATTGTTATATAATTTTGAGGCTATATTGCCCAGCCCTAATTGTAACATGTACTTTTAGAATGTAAAGTTAAGGAGGAAAGAAAGGAATTGATAACATTAAACAAAATAAAGTATTTCAATAAAAAAAAAAAAAAAAAAAACACACTTCCTTGGTAATGTAGGGAGCATACACAGGCAGCTAATTAAGTAGCTCAAGGATACAGCGCTATTATAGAAATTTTTATTGTATGGTTTGGTTATATTTTCCCTGCCAATCTACTGCTCCACACTCCAGTCCGGTGTTTGGTATAAATGCATGTCGATAAAGGTGTGTGAATGGGGTAAAGACAGGTAAGCAGACCGAACAAATCGTAAACTACAATGTATACGTGGTTTATGCCTGCCAATTCGAAGTAAGCTGTAAGCACCCAGGACAGGTTTGGTACATGTGGGAGGCTAGAGGCCTACCTCCTGCTGGTAGCATGAGCAAGCTAACATGAGGATATATTAGAAGTTCGACTGGTTTGTGACTAGCAACACGGTGGAATCTGATGCAGCACAAAAGAAAGCAGAAGTTCGGTGGACTTAGTTGAAATATTTGAGTTATCTTAAATGTTTGGTTTGCAATGGTTGTTCTGGCATTTGAGATGCTTACTATGGTTTGTTAGT